ACATTCAACTATCTTAATAAGTAAATCCTACTTCTGAAGGTCTTAAAAGGTGATTTAGAGCGTGCAAACCAGCTAACCATAATTTTGCTTTAGGGTGTCAATCAGCTTTTTAGAAATATCTGGTTTTAAAGCCAGGAGCAAAATTGACAATCGGGGTATTTGGAGTTACATTGGAAAAGGAGTTCTGTGGCATGGTCTGAATATTGGTGATTGAGTTTCAGGTGTGCTGTGCTTTGAAGCTGGAGAGCTCTTTGTGTGTGCATATGTCGCCCTCTGCTGACAATTAGTTGTAATTGCACGAGCCGGGTTTCAAAGCCCGCTGCAAAGGTGGAATTCTCAGTTTTCTTTTCTTAGAGGCACAGCTGGGGATGATGATTCAAGTTTGCATAATTTGTTTAGGATGTAAATGGAGGAACAGGAGTGAGGAAACGGCAAAGGGGAAAGGTGGTCAATAAAAGGTAATTACTAGTACGTAACTGAAGTTTAGTATGAGTTGACGGTTTGAACCGCTTGTCAGAGCAAACCTACCCTCAGTAAATTGGCAGCATGGGGGGAGGGGGGACGGTGATAGAGGAGGGGATTGAGAATATCAAGTTGGGTAAAGGACAGAGAGGAAGAGCAAGGAAAGAGATACTTTGAAAGAGGGAGCCACTGTGGGGTGAATGAGAAATCAGACACAAGAGAAACTCCCAGGAATCCACAAGGATGACCCCAGCTAAGAATCTTAGCAATAGTGGAGAGGATGCCTTAACTTCCTTCACCTGTAAGCAGATTGATGACTATCTTAATTGTCATCATAGAGCCTTCATCTAGTAACTTATAGAAGCAGAGGCAGAGATCCATAGCTGAGCACTGGTCTAAACTTCTGGAGTCCAGTCACAGGGAGGCAGGCGTGAGATTACAGACAAAGGGGTCAAGGCCATGATGGGGAAACCCACAGAAATAGCTGATTCTAGCTAGTGGGAGCTCACTGACTCCGAACTGACAGTGGGGAGAACTTACAACTAGGCCCTCTGGATGAGGGTGACAGCTGTGTGGCATGGGCAGTTGGTGAGACCAACAATGGAACCAGTATTATCCCTAGAGCATGAACTGGCTCTTTGAAAGCCCATTCCCTAAGGAGGGATACCTTCCTCAGCTTAGTTACAGGGAGGAGGGCCTTGGTCCTGCCTCAAGTGATGTGGCAGACTTTTCTGACTCCCCATGAGAGGCCTCACCCTCTTCGAGGAGTGGATGGGGGTTGGGATGGAGAGAAGGTGGGAGGAGCGGGAAGATGTGAGGGAGAGGGAACTGGGACTGGTATGTAAAATAAGATTGTTTTAAAAATAAATAAATAGAAAAGAACAAAACAAACGAAAAAAAGTACTGTTGGTGAAAATTTCCTGTCAATATTTGTGTATACGTTATTGTATACGTTCTTTGTACTCCCGTTGATACTTAAGTTGAATGTTCTGTCAATTATTGAGGGAATTATAATAATATCTCTCACATCAATTGTGAGTACATTGGTTTTTTTTTCCTCAGATTTCTACCTATTTTCGCTTCATAATATTTCAAGGCTCTGTTTTGTATTGTGTAAACACTTAGGAGCACAACGTTTTCGTGATAATTTAGCCTCACTATGACTACAGAATTATCTTCTTGTGCTTGATAACTTTTTTTGGCTCAAAATATGCTTAGTCTAAAGTTAATATAGCTATATCTAAGTAAACTGTTTCCTGAGATCAATACCATTAGTAAAAAAAGAGCTGCTAATGAAATATTGTAGAACTTTATGGTAAACCTTCCTGATGGAACAATAAAAGTTTCAGAGACAGTGGTGATTGAGATGGGTGATCTGTGTCACCCTTGCTTATTCTTTCTTCTCGTTAATGGGATCTCTTTATCCTTGCTTTCCTGTTTCTGCTAATCTATTCCTGGTCTTTATTTCCTCTTTAATTGATCAAAACCTTCTTATCTTTCTTGACAATTTCCATTTCTGAAAGTAAATTTTCACCTGCTCCAGATTCTTTAGCAGTTCAATAGCTGTTTTTATTTTTTTAAATAGAGAGGAGCCAATGCTGCTTTAATATGTTCTTTTATATTTACGTATAATAATAACTTGTTCAACTATGTTCCCAATCTATAATGATAATAAACAACATTAAGAAGTACCTAATTGGTATTTTATATTTAAGAAATACTTGGTAAACATGTCTAGCAATTGTATTAACTAGAGATTGTTCCCTTTATTCTGGAGAAAAAGATATGGACAGTCTTGGCTTACTTAATATGACAATAAGAAAACCTTGGTTGGGGTTTATGCTTAAATGATATGGTTTTAGAATGGACACAGAAAATGACTTCTTCCCAAATGCTTCCAATATATCACTCTGATGATGGAAGAAAAGATGATGATAAGGAGGATAGATCAGGAACACACACATACACACACTCACACTCACACACTTTGTAATGACACACAGTTAGAAAACAATACTTGGCCAAAATGCTAATGAGATCATTTAAAGTTTGTCCCTTCAGGTGTAAACCCTGGAGGCTTAAGTTCTTTGGGGATCTGGCTCTGAATTATCATATAAAGCTTGAATAAGGTCTCTTATTCTGTGCAGTCTGTGACTCTGTTAAGTTCAGGGATTCTTTCTTCAAGCCTAGCTCTATCAGGGTGGGAGGTGCATCATCTGTAAGTCACTTGTCTCAGACAATTGCCAGAATGAAGAAAATCAGATCTTCTGTCTTCTAGAAAATTACCACTTTTTTAAAAAAAATGTAGATAAAAGAGATGCAGAGAGGATATTCTTAAAGAAGTGAGTACACTGGGCTTTGATAGATGGAAGTTTTGAAACATGATGGAGAAACAGTAATGGTGTGAATGGGGGGGCATGGTCTTCCACCTTTAGGATATTTACTCACAGACTTATCAGCATTTACAGTTGGTCTATGAGTTTTTCTAAACCTATTTGCATAAATATGAAATAGAGATGCTGGTAGCAATAGTATACTACATTCTTGAAAATCACCCCAGAACTTTAAATTTCCACACCATAATAAACAATATATATGTGGCATAAGACACAGTAGCTAGCTTCTTTGGAAAAGGTAAGCATCATCGATGTATAATTTTCTAACATCAGAAATATATACCAATTGATTTGTCAGTTGAAACCAATTACCCACTTAATGAATTACTCCAAACAGCTTACACTCAGATAATTAATAAATAAATAATAGACTGTTTTTGAACCCGTAGCAATCTGTATTACACTTTGTCTTAATACACTTATCCTAGTAAGTTGCGTGAGAGTGGACATAAGACATGAACCAACCATTTCTACAATGGAGAGCACTCAAAAAAAAATCTAGATCTGTCTGTTTAACTGCATAAAATACACCCAGACAGCATCAGCATAAGGGTGCCACTAAAATACTAATAAACCACACAGATTAAGTCATTTAAACTATCTGCAATGTTATGGTGCTTGGCATATCATGTGGCAAACTGCTTTTTCTTTGAATGAGCACTTTGCTGTAGAAATCATATATTTTTTATAGACTATCATATACAATAATCTAGGCAATTTGAATAGTTTCTACTATTGATTATCTCATATGTCACACAAAAATATAGTCTTGAAGGTTTTACCTTTATTAAACTGTGATAAATGTACCATTTTATTTATTTTATTATTATTTGATTTGATAGTAGCAGTGATATATCATAATAACTGATTTTAAAGAAGATTGCATATATATGGGAAATCATATAAAATAATTTTATGTTATTTTAACTTTGGGGATTCTTAATTTTCTATGCAATTTCCTGATAATTTCATTGCCCCTGAAGGTTTGTCAGACACCATGATCTCTAAGAAAGCATTTCCCTTGCTTTTCCATGAAAGCATTTATTGGAAGAATGCAATTGTAGGAAATTTTGACACCCTTTCTTTCTTCTCAATCTGTCATCTTACATTCTTTTTCTTGATGCCACATTTGACTTTGCACTAGTCATACACTGAATTTATTTTATCTGTTCATTGGAAGATCAGTATTAAATAAAAATTATATGTTTTACTATTCTTCCAAATAGCCATCCTTTTTCTTTTTGCCAAGTGTGCAGTTATATTTCCATATCTCTTTATAATTGGGATTAGAAAATAGACTGAAATACATTCATATGAAATACACCTTTGTAGTATTTTTATAGTGCTCATTATTCAGTAAGAATTTGATGCCATATTTAACATTTCTCTAATATATGATACAGGATCTTAAACTTCCAGTTGTATTTACAGAATTACCAATAAAAGTATATCCAAGTAGAATTTCTAAAATTTCTGAGTGTGTGTGTGTGTGCATGCGTGCGTGCGCACGTGTTTGTGTGTATGTACCAGAGGAAAACCTCAATGCCATTCCTTAGTACTGTCCACCTTGATTTTGCAGACTAGGTCTCCACTGCCTTAGTGGGATAGACCAGCTGGGGAGTCAGCCCAAGGCATCTACTGTCTACTGCCTCTGTCTCTCCAGACCTGGATTTACACTAAACACATACCATCCAATCCCCTGTTTTCATTGTGAATTCTAGGGAGCAAATTTTATTACTAATGTTTACAAGGCAAATACTTTAGAACCTGATCTATTTCCTAAACTAATTAAGAGAGCTTCATTATTTCACTATATAATAAGATGAGAAATGGAGAGAAATTTTCATTACAAATGCAGTCTTAAAATCAAAGGAACTGTTGAATCAATGAAGTTAGATAACTCTTGATGGGAGGATGTTCATCCCCAAAAGTTCAAGGGTTTGGTTGCTGAAGTCTGCATAGGATTTTGTACAAGTGTCCAGATCTTGTAACTAGGAATATTATTACCACTCAGCTCAACCGTGCTGACCAACTGTCTATAATAGACCTATTGAGGATAATCTGCTATTGATTTCAGATATCACGTGACTGATATTTTGGTAAGACATAATTCTTATTCTTTTAACAGATCCCAGCTTACTAATGGAAGAAAAGAATCAGACAACAGTGCCCGAGTTTCTCTTCCTTGGCCTCATAGATAACCTCTATCAAAAAATTTTCCTCTTTATCATATTTTTCTTTGTTTATCTTGTCACCCTGGGGGGTAATGTGGGAATGATCACTTTAATATGGGTGGATCCCAGGCTACACACCCCTATGTACTTTTTTCTTAGTCATCTGTCCTTTGTAGATGCGTGTACCTCTTCTTCCATAGCTCCCAAGATGCTGTGTGACATTTTTACCGAGAACAAAGTCATCTCTTTCATAGGCTGTGCAGCACAATTGTGGTTCTTTGGTCTCTTTGTGGCAACTGAGTGCTTCCTCCTGGCTGTCATGGCGTATGATCGCTATACAGCCATCTGTAAGCCCTTGCTGTATACACTCATATGTCCCAGCATGTCTGTGTGCTCTTGGTCATCGGGCCTTATGCCATTGCTATTATAAGTACAACGACTCACACAACCTTAACCTTTTGCTTACCATTCTGTGGGCCACGTATTATCAACCACTTCTTCTGTGACATTTCCCCATTGCTATCTCTAGCATGTGCGGATACCCAGATCAATAAGTTGGTGCTTTTTGTCTTGGCTGGAGCAGTAGGTGTGATTACTGGTCTGATCATCCTGGTCTCCTATGTCTGCATCTTGATGGCCATCTTGAAAATTAGGACAGCCAATGGGAGACGAAAAGCCTTCTCCACTTGTTCCTCTCACTTAGCAACTGTCTCTATCTTGTATGGGACTCTTTTCTTCATCTATGTCCAACCTAATGCTAGTTCCCTCCGGAATATTAATAAAATGATCTCCCTATTTTATACTGTTGTGATCCCCATGTTGAATCCCCTCATCTACAGCTTGAGGAACAAAGAGGTGAAAGATGCATTCAGGAGAACATTGGAGAGGAAGCACATAGGTGCTTAAGATAGAATTCTCTTTGTGACATGCCTAAGTTGTGGGAGCAAAATATACATTAAAGACCACTGGAGTGAGATTCAGAGGTTGCAAGGGAGTCCTTGTTCTTCCTGATCACAGAATATTTCACAAACTTGTGCCATATCTTGATGGAAACTAGTTTAAAGTTTTAGCAATTTTAGTGAATTTAACTGCTCATTGAAATGGTTTGGTTAACAATGCATCTTCAAGGTGAAAACCATATTTTCAACTCAATGTTTCAAGTCATAACAGTCTTCCAAATGAAAATGAAATTATAAAAAGTTCAAATTCTAGTAAAAAAATTATACATTTTGATATTTTGGCTAAACACAATCATAGGAACAGAAAATGCATATAGTCTTGCTTGTTTCTAAGGCCTATTTTTATGTATAAATATTTTACAACATGGATGTAAGTGTTTATATGTGTAAACATGTGTTTACAGTGTCTGAAGAGTCCAAAGGAAGGCGTTGGATTCCCTGGAACTGAAGTTACAGTTATGAGCTGACACTTATGTGCTGGAAATTGAACCAAGTTCTCCGGAAGAGTGGCCAGTGCTCTTAACTGCTGCTATCTCTTCCTTCCCCCTATTTACATTTCAAGATTTCTGGGAAAATATTTTGAAAAATTTGCTACTTCTTTTCAACTATCTTAAATATGTTGCCTGCTAAAACTTTCAAATGGAATGCATTTGAGCTGTAATGTATCATTTAACTTAAAGAAAAATTTGACTATGCCTCCCTCTTTCTGCCTCTGTTTCCTTTGGTTTCTATTTCTATCTATGTCTCTGTCCATCTGTGTGTGTGATTGCCTGTCTGTCTGTCTGTCTGTCTGTCTCGTGTGTGTGTGTGTGTGTGTGTGTGAGAGAGAGAGAGAGAGAGAGAGAGAGAGAGAGAGAGAGAGAGAATGTACATAAGTGCATGTGCCACGGCACACATGTAAAAGTTAGAGGACAACCTTAGATGCCAACTTTCTTTTTTTTTTTTTTTTTTTATTTTATTTTAATTTATTTATTTATTAAGAATTTCTGCCTCTCCCCACAACCGCTTCCCATTTCCCTCCCCCTCCCCCGATCAAGTCCCCCCCCCCTCATCTGCTCGAAGAGCAATCAGGGTTCCCTGACCTGTGGGAAGCCCAAGGACTGCCCACCTCTATCCAGGTCTCCTAAGGTGAGCATTCAAACTGCCTAGGCTCCCACAAAGCCAGTACGTGCAGTAGGATCAAAAACCCACTGCAATTGTTCTTGAGTTCTCAGTATTCCTCATTGTCCGCTATGTTCAGCTAGTCTGGATTTATCCCATGCTTTTTCAGACCTAGGCCAGCTGGCCTTGGTGAGATCCCAATAGAACATCCCCATTGTCTTAGAGTGTGGGTGCACCCCTCGTGGTCCTGAGTTCCTTGCTCGTGCTCCGTCTCCTTCTGCTCCTGATTTGGACCTTGAGATTTCTGTCCGGTGCTCCCGTGTGGGTCTCTGTCTCTGTCTCCTTTCATCGCCTGATGAAGGTTAATATTCCTGAGGATGCCTATGTGTTTGTCTTTGGATTCACCTTATTTAGCTTCTCTAGGAACATGAATTATAGGCTCAATGTCCTTTATTTATGGCTAGAAACCAAATATGAGTGAGTACATCCCATGTTCCTCTTTTTGGGTCTGGCTTACCTCACTCAAGATAGTGTTTTCTATTTCCATCCATTTGTATGCAAAATTCAAGAAGTCCTTGTTTTTTACTGCTGAGTAATACTCTAATATGTATATATTCCATACTTTCTTCATCCATTCTTCCGTTGAAGGGCATCTAGGTTGTTTCCAGGTTCTGGCTATTACAAACAATGCTGCCATGAACATAGTTGAGCATATACTTTTGTTGTATGATAGGGCCTCTCTTGGGTATATTCCCAAGAGTGGTATTGCTGGATCCAGGGGTAGGTTGATCCCGAATTTCCTGAGAAACCGAAACACTGCTTTCCAGAGTGGTTGCACAAGTTTGCATTCCCACCAGCAATGGGTGAGTGTACCCCTTTCTCCACAACCTCTCCAGCAAAGGCTATCATTGGTGTTTTTGATTTTAGCCATTCTGACAGGTGTAAGGTGGTATCTTAAAGTTGTCTTGATTTGCATTTCCCTGATCGCTAAGGAAGTTGAGCATGACCTTAAGTGTCTTTTGGCCATTTGAAGTTCTTCTGTTGAGAATTCTCTGTTCAGATCAGTGCCCCATTTTATAATTGGGTTGATTAGCCTTTTACGGTCTAGTTTCTTGAGTTCTTTATATATTTTGGAGATCAAACCTTTGTCAGTTGCAGGGTTGGTGAAGATCTTCTCCCAGTCAGTGGGTTGTCTTTTTGTCTTAGTGACAGTGTCCTTTGCTTTACAGAAGCTTCTCAGCCTCAGGAAGTCCCATTTATTCAATGATGCCCTTAGTGTCTGTGCTGCTGGGGTTATACATAGGAAGTGGTCTCCTGTGCCCATGTGCTGTAGAGTACTTCCCACTTTCTCTTCTATCAGGTTCAGTGTGTTCGGACTGATATTGAGGTCTTTAATCCATTTGGATTTGAGTTTTGTGCATGGTGATAGATATGGATCTATTTTCATTCTTCTACAGATTGACATCCAGTTTTGCCAGCACCATTTGTTGAAGATGCTCTCTTTTTTCCATTGTATACTTTTAGCTCCTTTATCGAAGATCAGGTGTTCATAGGTTTGTGGGTTAATGTCAGGGTCTTCTATTCGATTCCATTGGTCGACTTCTCTGTTTTTATGCCAATACCAAGCTGTTTTCAATACTGTAGCTCTGTAATAGAGTTTGAAGTCAGGGATGGTAATGCCTCCAGACAATCCTTTATTGTATAAGATTGTTTTGGCTATCCTGGGTTTTTTGTTTTTCCATATAAAGTTGATTATTGTCTTCTCCAGATCTGTGAAGAATTTTGATGGGATTTTGATGGGGATTGCATTGAATCTATAGATTGCTTTTGGTAGAATTGCCATTTTTACTATGTTGGTCCTCCCAATCCAAGAGCAAGGGAGGTCTTTCCATTTTCTGGTGTCTTCTTCAATTTCTTTCTTCAAAGACTTATAGTTCTTGTCAAGTAGATCTTTCACTTCCTTGGTCAGGGTTACCCCAAGGTATTTTATGCTATTTGTGGCTATCGTGAAAGGTGATGCTTCTCTGATTTCCCTCTCTGCTTCCTTATCCTTGGTGTATAGGAAGGCAACTGATTTTTTGGAGTTGATCTTGTATCCTGCCACGTTACTAAAGCTGTTTATCAGCTGTAGGAGTTCTTTGGTAGAATTTTTGGGGTCGCTTATGTACACTATCATATCATCTGCAAATAACGAAAGCTTAACTTCTTCCTTTCCAATACGAATCCCCTTGATCTCCTTATGTTGTCTTATTGCTATTGCTAGAATTTCAAGCACTATATTGAAGAGGTATGGCGAGAGTGGACATCCTTGTCGTGTTCCTGATTTTAGTGGGATGGCTTTGAGTTTTTCTCCGTTCAATTTAATGTTAGCTGTTGGCTTGCTGTAAATAGCTTTTATTATATTTAGGTAGGACCCTTGTATCCCTATTCTCTCCAAGACCTTTATCATAAAGGGGTGTTGAATTTTGTCGAATGCTTTTTCCGCATCTAGTGAAATGATCATATGGTTTTTTTCTTTCAGTTTATTTATATGGTGGATTACATTGATAGATTTGCGTATGTTGAACCAGCCCTGCATCTCTGGGATGAAGCCTACTTGATCATAATGGATAATTTTTCTTATGTGTTCTTGGATTCGGTTTGCCATTATTTTATTGAAGATTTTTGCGTCGATGTTCATGAGTGAGATCGGTCTGTAATTCTCTTTCTTGGTTGGGTCTTTTTGTGGTTTTGGTATCAGGGTAACTGTAGCTTCATAAAAGGAATTTGGCAATGACTCTTCTGATTCTATATTGTGAAATACCTTAAGGAGTATAGGTATTAATTCTTCTTGGAAGTTCTGGTAGAATTCTGCATTGAAACCATCTGGTCCTGGGCTTTCTTTCGAAGGGAGATTTTTGATAACCATTTCTAATTCTTCGCGAGAAACCGGTCTATTTAGATCATTCACCTGGTCTTGGTTTAGCTTTGGTATATGATACTTATTTAAAAAAATGTCCATTTCTTTTGTATTTTCCAGTTTTGTGGCATACAGGCTTTTGTAGTAAGATCTAATGATTCTCTGAATTTCCTCTGTGTCTGTGGTTATGTCCCCCTTTTCATTTCTGATCTTATTTATTTGTGTGTTCTCTCTCTGTCGTTTGATTAGTTTGGATAGGGGTTTGTCGATCTTGTTGATTTTCTCCAAGAACCAGCTTTTTGTTTCATTGATTCTTTGGACTGTTTTCTGTGTTTCTATTTTGTTGATTTCAGCCCTCAGTTTTATTATTTCCAGTCTTCTACTTCTCCTGGGCGCGTCTGCTTCTTTTTTTTCTAGAGCTTTCAGGTGTGTTTTTAAGTCCCCAATGTATGCATTCTCCGTTTTCTTTAAGTGGGCATTTAGTGCTATGAACTTTCCTCTTAGCACTGCTTTCATCGTGTCCCATAGGTTTGAGTATGTTGTCCCTTTATTTTCATTAAATTCAAGGAAGACTTTAATTTCTTTCTTGATTTCTTCCTTGACCCAGGCGTGGTTCAGTAGTTGACTGTTCAGTTTCCATGAGTTTGTCGGTTTTTTGGGGGCAGCGTGGTTGTTGCCTTCTAACTTTAATCCGTGATGATCTGATAAGACACAGGTGGACACTGAGATTTTTTTGTATCTGTGGAGGTTTCCTTTGTTTCCGAGTATGTGGTCAATTTTTGAGAAGGTTCCATGAGCTGCAGAGAAGAAGGTATATTCTTTCCTATTTGGGTGGAATGTTCTATAGATGTCTGTTAAGTCCATTTGCTTCATTACCTCCAATAATTCTCTTAATTCTCTATTAGGTTTCTGTCTGATTGACCTGTCCCTTGGAGAGAGAGGTGTGT